TTTCTCAGGTGTTCAAATACTTATGTTCAGCAGTGCAAGACAAATAAATTCTTTAAAAATCATACAATGTGATTTCCTGATTTTTTTTTTTTTAATTCTGTCTCTCAGAGTGGGAATGCACCTACAATGTTAATGTCAGACCCCTCCATGATTTCTAAGTGGGAGAACTTGCAAAATCGCAGGGTGTTCAAATACTTCTGTTCCTCACTGTATACCAGTGATCTAAAGCATTACTGCCTTTATATTAGGCCAAGTGAATCTTTTAAACCTTTCACCCTGCTATCATGGACAACTGCTGCACACACTGTGCTGAATGTAGGTTGAATTTGCATATTTTGTTGGGACATGCTACAAAACGTGGTTTTACAAAGATCATACACTTCAGTATTCTGACAATAGACTGAACCATTCAAAACCCATTTCTCTCCATATCTTAGGATTATTTTTTATTTATAAGGAGGCATTTTTAAGGATGTTTTTAAAATTACTAAAGCTTTTTTAAAAATGGTAAATGTGTTTAATGTGGCTTTTACAGCTGAATGGCAAACGGTTTGATTTGCTTCCCAAAGTTCTCTGACCTCCAGTTTTCACCCTCTTAAACTCTTGACACGTTTTAGAGACTGCAATAATTATTTTACATGCTTTTACACATTAGATTTTTTTAGTGGAGTATAATGTTTAGTGTGTTAGTTATGCAATCTGGTCATATCAATAAACAGATCAGAAAACTTGAGAGAGACATAATTTTTAGGAAGTGGTTCTGGCATGAAGCCTGATGTACAGGCTGTTTTCTGAGCTTTAGAGAACTCTATTTAACCGCATGACAGGGAAATGTTTGAAACCTATGGCAAATATCTATTGGACATAATAAAATTCTATTGATAAGATCATTACAACTTACTAAAAAATACATCTGTCTCACTTAACATTTCCAGAATTGACAAATGTCGGCCAAATCTACATGATGCCTGATCAGTTTACACAGGTCTGGGTTGACTGGAAATTAGACTCATAATAAGACTCAATTAGACAGAATAAATAGAAAAATTCTTTAAAACACAGATTTTGATTGTATACTTTGTAGTGAAATCAGTTATAATGAGTACCAAAGGAGACTTGTGCAGTAATCCCAGCCCAGTCAGGGAGCTGCTGAGCTTTGTTGGGTGAATATAAAGTTTGCAACCACAGCTGTTTAACATGGTGATGCCAACAGTCTCTGAACCTCCTCATTATGCAGGGGGAATCTGGCATATGGCAGTATTCTCTGTGGGCATTAACAAGGACAGGGCACCACAGATGGGGTGCGGAGGACACTTGCTGGTTCCTAACTAACATCCCTCCAGATCACTTTTTTTCTCCAAAGCTGGTTAATGTGTAGAAAGCCCACAGCATGAGAACCTTCCTGATGCTGTTTTATCACAAAGACTCACATGCATGCACACAAACCCACATTAACATACAACCTCTCACATGTCTACGTGCCCCGGTGTACAGAAATCACATGAGAAAGGCAGCAAACCTTCTGAGCCCATGATAAAGTGGTGAATGTCCGGCCCTGTGGACATGCGTGGGACCTGACAGTTCTTTTCAATCACACCTCGTGGGGTCACCATCTTTATATGGACAACCTACAAAAACATAAAAAACAGGAATTTACTTTTTAACATATTTACAAATTTTGACAAAACGTATTTGGATACTGCCACGTATACTTTGAATACATGTCATAATTAGCACACTGCATGTTAGTGGTCAGGGTAGAGTTCACTAAACCTTTGCTAATCATTTCCTTTCTCATCACTGTGTAGTAACTTCTGCAGCCTGACTTTCATCCCATATTTAGAACAAATTTGATCAGGAAGGTAAAGACGATGGCAGACAACTCACCAGGTCCTCAATGTTACCGTAGATGTTCTTCTTCATGCCTGATGCTCTGGTTGCTACCCAGCCCCCGAGGGAGCTAAACTCCATGGAGTCAGGCTCATGCCCCGTACAGTATCCGCTCTCATTAAGCTGCAAAAAAAGTAAAAAAATAAATAAATAAATAAATAAAGGATGCTTTGTTGTTGTAATTAAAACAGAGACAAAACATATGGAAAACAATGACTTTGTAAACACACAAGAATGTTCTTAATGTCAACCAAAAGAATGAGCAGACAAATGGCAAAAAAACCCATAATTGCAGGCCTGCTGCTAATTTCACTGCTCTTGTTATGCTGCAATGCAAGAACTCAGGATTTATGGCTTAATTTTTACTACAGCCTAAAATAAACCAAGTGGAAAGAGCATGAAAAGATCAGTGCATTATTACACAGTGCCAAATTCCACTGCTCGACTTTAGAACTGATGTCATGTAAAAAAAAAAAAAAACAAAAGATGGCTGTACCCTTCCAGGTGACATGTTTAAGTCTTTTTTTCCCATTCAGTAATAAAATTAGAATCACAGAAACTTGCATGTTTATTTAAATATGTAAGTTATACAGGCTCATTCAGCTTCCACAGCTCCACCATGTGGGTATAACAATGTGTCAGTGCACTTCAGGGGCCGTTTTGTAGTGTCACACAAAAAGATCCTTCGACCAAACCATCTTCATCTGATGTACCATCTCTCAGGGGTCACCAGGAACCTACACATTTTCCTCTAGGCAGCCCAACCCCTAAAAGATTGTATTCTCAGGCAGAACATAGTAATGATGATAACAATAATAATATTAATAAGTGCCTTCAGGTTCAACAGCACCACCACCAGAAGCAGAGGAAGGGGGCGAAGTCAGGCCTTGTTTTATCACAGCACTCCCCTGGAAGGCAGTTTATAACACAGATCCATCTGCTCCATGAAAATGGCTGAGTCTCAATGCAGAGGTGAAGTCTGCTTTAGATGCAGCTCACGCATTCCACTACATCAAATGCCTGCTCCGTCTCCATTTTTCTGAATTAGCTTGATGGTGCCATCTGCTCATGACTGCTGCCTCACTCTCTAATCTCTCCCCTTCAGCGCACTGTTCCCGTCTCCAACGCCTTCCTAAACCCTATTATATCGTCTGAGCAAAGAGTGCCAAGGTGACTGAGCATGGACAACCTGCATGTGAACAGTAACACAGCTTGACTGTTGCCACATTTTAGAGTAATGCAAGCTCTTTCAGTGGATGAATGTGGATGGGCAGTACTTACCAGTCTCTCCAACTCCTCACCCACGATGCCAGCTTCCACATGAGCAGTTAAATTTTTCTCATCAATCCACAGAATACGGTTCTGCAATTTAAAAACCACCATCACTGAGGAGGTCATAAACACTCTATATAAATGTTTCACACCATAAATTATAGAATAAATATTTTCTAATCCTGTTTTGTTTCACACTCTTCATTTGACCTAGGCAACAAAATCTTAATACAAATGTTGTTTATCACCAAGTCTGCAGTCTGAACTACATGCATTATTTTGCCTTAAAATATCTCAGGCTCTGACATAAACCCTGTCCTCAACAGTCCCTGGGCAATTTGCCTACAAAGCTGAAAGTCTTGCACTAACATGTCCTTCTAGTCTGATGGTCACATGTCTGAGGACAAATGTGTGCAGAGGGGCTGTGGGACGGAGACGAGAGCCAGTTTCCTCAAGGTTAAAATCAATTTTACATCTAATTCCAAATATATGCCTCTTATTTGGGCTGCTGGGCACATGGCCTACCCCTACCTGCAGGAGGTCATTTCATACTTGCCATCAATTATTCTGCAGCTGTAATAAACTTTATGTTCCTACCACACTGCTCCTTTCATGTGCCTCTATTGGAGCCACCTCACCTCTGACCCCTGACATGGAACACTGGTCACCGGCCTCCGTGGCACCAAACTCAATGACTGGTGGGCCAGCAGCATCCAGACAGCTTCTATATCACATCTATGTGAGTCGGGTTCAAAGGGCTGCACTGTACTGGTGAGAATGACTGTTTTATATTGTAACCAATGGGACATTATCATGTTCATGGTGAAGCTACGGGTGTTCCTTGAACATTAATGGCCGGTGACAAAGAATATTAACTTTGTCTCAGCTGCACACTACACACATGCTAATTCTAAGGCTGCTACTAATGATTATTTTCATTATCAACCGTTTTATAATTGAAAGCTGGAGGAAAAAAACATTCCTATCACAGATTTCCAAACCCCAAGCTGATCCACATTCTGATAATTGCCAAATTCTCGCAGTTTAAAAACATAATGAGAAAATGATTTGAATATACCTTATAAAGGATATTCAGATATTTTAAATGGTTAAATTCACACATTTTCCAATTATGACAAAGTATTGTTTTCATGTTATGAGTGGGTTCTCTTACAAACAGTACTGATAAAGACCGAGTCTCCCTTCATTATTCCAACCTTGGCGACCAGATAAACAATTACACCAGTGTCATATACTTTGATACTGACTGAAGCTTTGACTTTGTTCAAACTGTGTCAGAACACGATGAATTACTTCTACAGTAGGGTAAGAGAGAGAGCAACACTCATTTAATGTAAGCAAATACAAACATCTCTCAGAAACTTGACATTTTAAATTTTACAGTGCTTAGTGTTTATTATCAGAGTGCATTGGATTTGGTTTCGGTACAGACACAGGTGTTTACCTACCATCTGTGAGGTATCCAGAGAAACAATGGAGCGAGTTTCCTCTGGCGGGCACTCTAGGGCACCAGAGACACTAGTCCCTCCTGAGGGAGGAAAAACAGTAGGAAGAGGAGCGTTCAAATAAACTTTGTGAATATATTCGAAACTTATCTACACTTTTAAAAAGACACACCCACAGATTGGCCGCTAATTCCAGCACCAGCATAAACTCTGGCAACAGATATATTTCTAAGTCTAGAGCTAGGTATCGAGCCTGAATGCATGCCGATTACAGACGGATCTAAAAAGTAAAGCTTGCACAGTGCAAATAATTCAACCTAAGGACAAAACTTCCTCTAAAATGACTCGAATCTTCAAGCTGTAGTTGGATACATGTTTGGCTGAAAATTATATTTTTATCATGAACTGATTTACAATCTCCTGTAATACAAGATTAATTCCTGCCGTTTTGCCGTTAACAGTAGCGTGTGACAGGGGGCGGAAACAGAGAAAGGTATGACATATGAGAGGAGTCCCAATTACAACATACACATTCGAAGGGTGGCCCAAGAGATGATAATATTTTTTCTGCTGCTCCAGTACAACACACAAAGAGCAAGACAGGGAATCCTACATAGCGTGTGGCCTTGTTAATGAGATAAGAATTTCACAAGCATGCGATGGGAATAAACAATGAAGTAAATCAGATGTAAAGACATTTCTAGTGTCCTGTTATATTGTACATGACAGCTTATGTTGATTAGAACCTGTAATTTCATGACTCACCTCCATATGGTATTAAACAAACATTATGTTTGCACGACAATTCTACAACTCTCACTACATCATTGTGGCAGTCTGCAAAGACACAAAACATCATTTCAAAAATCAGAGACATCATAAAGGATATGCTTACATTTATCATCCTCTATTACATTCTTAATGGAACTGCTCTCATTACAACAAGAGTAGGCATACAAAAGATGAACACGACACTGCATCTATACCAAAGACAATAAATGTATATGGTCTGAGCAATTAGAGCAGGGGGACCGGTAGAGAGGGAGCGTGCATTTTGATCTGCTTGATGGCGGGGATTTTCCCAGGGCTTTCCTCGGGCGGAGTCACGCTGCATGGAGCTATGCTCTATTGGGTGGGATGTTCTGGATCAATACAAATGTGCTTTAGCTGATCATGGAGCCCACATCCATTCACACAGCAGTGGTGAGCACACCTAAACAGATGTGCTTGACTGGCCTCAAGTGCTTTTACAGGCAGTGAGAAACATACTTTCTCGTATACTTTGCCATCTAATTAAACGCACAGCTTGGGCCTACTAATTACAGTTAAACTAAACTCCTACTTCAAATACACACCTTGCCTTGGAGGGACTACTGAGGAATGTGAATCACAGGTTAGTATATCTATTAGATACAGTAGAGTGGCAGGAATAACCATTCTGGAATTACCCATTTTCTGCATTGACTGGTAATAAAATGGGTTCCGATATTCATCTAAGCCAAAAGTATAGACAAACACAATGTGCTTAAGCTAATAACACACAGACAATTATCTTTTTGTCTGTATTGAACATACCGATTTTACAGTCACAGCACTGATGGAAAAAGTAAGTGAACTCTTGAATTATATTATTGGTTGAACCTCCTTTGGGACCTCAAACAAGCTCTTCCAGCAGCAGCAGATCAGACCTGCACAAGAGGAATTCTGGACCATTCCTCCTCACAGAACTGCTTCAGTTCAGCCCCACTGGTTGGACGTCTGGTGTAAATGAACAATTCAACCTTAGTGTCATCAGTCCGCAAAACACTTTCCCTGGAGCGCTGTTGACTGTCAAGGTGCTCAAATTTCTGTTATGCAAAAATGTTGTGGATTGCAATGTGGAGAGCAAACGCAAAATGTTTGCGTGTTTGTAAGTTAATGTACAGTAGCTCCAACGCACACCTCTATGCTGGTTTCATCTTCTGTGAATGTTTGAATCATGTATTCAGAGCGGACAAAAACAACACAATGATTTGTATGTTATTAGTAAAAAGAGATTGTGTTTTTTCATACTTTTAACCTAGATGAAGATCTGGCCATATTTCACAAAAAAAATTATACATAAATTCCAAAGAGTTCACATATTTTTTCTTGCCACTGTACATAATAAATTAGTATATTTGCAAGGTCCAAAAAGTGTAAATCTGGTTGTAGTGTGGATGCCTACGGTTGCCTGTGTAATTTGCAGCCCATTTGGGAGGCTGCTAATCAAGTTTCGATCATCAGTCAACACTCATATGCATGATTAAATAGAGCCAGATATAAAAACAAAATCTAATCTCAATATCACAATTCATGGATGTACTATGCAGGGCCTAGCAGTGGAGTATTGGGTGTCACCCGTCCTCCCCCTGACGCTTCTTATTAAGCTTCCACTCATACATATTAATATCCCTGCCTCTGCAGAGATTAACCCTTTAAATCACCAGCGCCAGTAGCGGGATTAACAATGCTAAGTGGGAGGAGAAAACAGAGTAATTAAAAAAAATAACACAGCCTGTGCACTCACTTGGCCATACTACCATATCTGGAACACGGCCAATTTTCCCTTCTCGCAGAGCAAATATCTCATGTAAGCAATGTCCTGAAGAAAAAAAAATTAAGAGGCATGAGATGGCACAAGACCAAATGAAGTTTAATATAATCATCACAAATAAACACACTATTGATAAATTTAAAATACACGCTGCTTTAAAAGGTTATAATGTGTCTTACCATGGGCGCGAAACACCCGGTCCTCTGCTTCGTGAGAGAACGGAATACCTGTGGATTTCAGTTCCTCCACGAAGGCCTCGTTAAGAATGGGAGGGGGGACAGCGCTGCTATTCAGAATCGGCTGAAATAAAATAAGACATTGTGGTTTGGGTAACTGTGCTGTACACTGCCATTCTCTGAAGACACGACACATAAGCACATAACTGCACTCACTGTTGCTGTACTTTTATGCTGCAGACTGGATCCAAATGTGCTTTCCATCCAGTCTTTCAGACCAGGGATGATCTGACCACTTAGTCTATACCTGCATTGTGTAAAATAAGACAGATAATGTGAAAACCTATTAAAACAGAAAAACAATTAAGCCTCATGAATTAGCAATTTCCATCAGTGGAAAGTCAAAATCATGAACTGAAAATATTTTACAGCTTGACTGGGCTAATTACTTCAAGAACCAAGTCAGTGTCTAATAAGAATAGAGTGTGAGATCTGAGTCCGTTGAGGTTACTAGGCAAGCAGAGCAGCTGTGACAGAGCTGTGATCGCTCTCACCATCTCTTGCATAAATGAGCTGCTGGCATAGCCCAGGCCAGCCCATCAAGAGACTGTGCTGTGTCTTTGTCCAAGAGACCATGAAACACACTCTAATGAAAAAGCCTCTGTCACATCGAGCATGGAGGAGGAGAACACCATCTCTTGACATTCATTCAACTGCACCCCAGTCTCCATTACTATACGCCGCCCAGGTAGCTTTTCAGTCGAGAGGGCACGGAGCAACTGCTTGCCCTGGAGGAAACTATTTACTGTGCAACATCCTGTAAAGCTCGACTCATTACTCAGAATACATCCTCAAGTACACTGTGCCAGTTGTCTGTGTTTACACTCTGACAGGCAAGGCTGTCTCTACCAATGTCATAAGTCATAATTACAATAACAAGACATCTCTATAACTGCTTATGTCATGGGGGGGCAGAGATAAAGGCGCAGAATTAGCTTTTCTTTCATTTGTAAAATGAAGCCATATTACCTGTGTCTCCCATCAAAAAAGTACTAACATAATGTGATCTATTTTGGGACAGACTGGAAAGAGGTTTCTGATAATGAGTTTGACGAAGCTTAAGAATTACAGCCAGTGACCTTCTCAGATGACAAACAGTTCAAATACCAACCACCAGGTGGCAGTAGCACCACACTGCTGTGAGCATGGGAAGAAGGCAGCAAACTGATTTTCATTGCTGGTTTCACATCATGGGCTGTGAAAAATGATCAATGCATAACTCTAACCTAAGTATGAACACTGAACACTGAACACAGCAGCTGTGTTAAACCAAGATTAGAGACTGTGAATGAGATCCAGTCCAGACTGATTTCTCTAAATCACCAACGGATAAGAGTCAACAGAAGAGTGGTGAGACATGATACTGTACCTTTTGCCAGTAAATTCTGCTTGACCTTTCTTATTGTAGAAGAATCTTGAATCATTGTATCCCCAGCCATTCCATTTCATAATCTCCTGCCTGTGGAAAGACAAATATTGCCATATGTTAAGTAAACTCATGCACCTTACACTGAAGTTAAGACCAAAATGAAATATTATGAGAGGAAGCTACAGAAACGCATGTGAAGGTGATTCCTGGAGGTGATGACCTGGTAAATTCTTTGGTTTGCACCACAGTCCCTCTGGGTTGTTGCAGGCTTGCCGCAAGTAATTTCCGCCAGAATAATAATAATGATTTAAAAAAAGAAAGCCCTTCATCATCCCCATAATCTTATAATTCATACTAATATTTGAACACCCAGACACACAGCATTTCACTGTGAGTAAAAATCAAACTTTCCTCATTTTATTCAGACATTCACAACTTTTTGATTCATCCAAGGTTGGGCTAGCAATCAGCTGGCAAATTTACAGTAAGAGAGGCTGCAGACAGACACACCTACAGTATCAGGTGCCTCAAAGATGATGCTACATTGTCTGTGTTGTAACGCTGTACAGGCCTGTGTGTGTGTTTTTGACTCGCTGCAGAAAGACTACTCTTACCAATATATATCTATATAATATTATTATTATTAATGATTTTATCCCTCTGCTGATGTCCTATTGTTGGACAAAGCCATTGACGGAATGCTGTTGCACTTTCTATCAAACTGAATGACTCAAGGTCAGCCTTACAATAAAAGAAGGGACCCGGAGACATACTGATATACCATATTATCAGTGTGTCACAATGACCAGAACAGGGCATGATGAATTTCACAAGGCCAAATTCCCTAACTCATATTCTCACTTAGCTAGAGTAGTTACTTCGGGCTGACACTAGATGTCAGCACAGTGCGGTGGGGTTCCCTTAAAGGCCACTGAGCTACCAATAGGTTGAAAGTCACACCACCACTTGTATCGACCAATCAGCCAATCACATGAACAACACGGGAGACTGAAGTTTCATTGTTGACACAACATTTGTTTTTTTAAGGGGCTGCATATTTTCAAATCTAGTTAACAAATATCAAAAACCTTTACATACCAGATGCTGATAATTCTTTTACAAACATGTCTAACCGGATCAAGAACACAACAGGTACTGGATGTCATAACATTACAACTAAAATAAACAATACCGTTATACCTGCTAGCAAAATATACCACGACAACTTGTACTTAAAATGTTTTGCTAACTGAAGAACTGGAAAGTGCCAACTACAGTTGAGCTTTTACAACTACTATGACACTGAAAAAAATCCACATGGCAGATTATATGATCTACTATAAGTACGGAAAACTGTATTTGACCAGCTTGGGACGTTAAACTCTATGTAAAGCTAGCCGCACCCACTCCGTAGCAAGGCTTCTCTGTAGCTAAGTAACGCTAGCTAGCAGGCTAACTAAGAGCCGGTCTTTTGCTATGACTCTCAACGTTATTTATGCTTGGAAAAGGCAAGTAAGCCTGTCTATGCACGTCACCCATAGTACTTGTTTAGCTATGGGCCACCTAATGTTTCACTTAATAACTAGTTAGCATTAAAGCCACAGAGGTTGGACTCTGGTCTATTGCTCCATCACAGTGCTGTAATGTTACCTCCTCCTCGGCACCGTCTTCCTTTCACTGGATGCATCTGGCTTGCTACCTTGAGCTTTGCACTCCGAGGGTAGGATAGCCGAACCACCGTCAGTCGGTCTTTGTAAATGGCCCGCAATTATCTTCAGTCTTTGCTGTGCGATGTGTTGCCTGTCGGAGATGCTGCCGCCGCTGTTGCTGGACGCCATGCTGCTTCCGTGTCTGTGAAAGGAGGGAGCGACTGTCAGATGTCAGCGCAGGAAAAGTGCGCTGAGTTAGGATCCCGTCGGAAATATGACAATCGCTTCTCATGGATGAGCAAAAAATTGTTGAATGCCCCATAACTGGATTTTTTTTTCATTTGCCCTTTATAAGATAATGCTACTTACTAAATGTTGATTGATCAATTAGGTGATAAACACAAAATCAATCGCAAGCCTCAATTTTTGATAATAGACAAATTTATTTGAGTCATTTTACAGCCAGAGATGCTAAACATTTTCTGATTCTAGCATTGCAAATGCCAACGTTTCCAGCTTTTTGCTTCCATGATATGCTATATGTTTGGGTTTTGGACTATAGTTCAGACGAAGCGAGCACTGAGACTGATGCACAAAGATCTAATAAACTAACCATCAGATTAATCAATACAGAAATCTTTAGTTGCAGCCCCAGTTAAAATGTGTCTAAAGCTAAGCATGAATATGAGTTTAGTCTGTTGTTAGGTTATGTTTTATTCTCCTTTGTTAAAACGTTTAAACCATGGAATTAAACATAGTTACACAAATTCATTCCATTCTGAAACAGGAGCTAACGAGAAACACCCGAATGTACCAGATAATGTATTACCCAGCATGCTTTCCAACATAGAATGTTTGCATATGCTCTATTGACTGCTGAGTCTGAAATTTAGTCAGTTTGCATAGCCTAGCTGTTGATAACAACACCTTTTCAAGTATCACTACTTGAAATATATAAGAGGAGGGTGTGCCATGTACAAAAATAGATTTTAATAACTAAAAAGTCTATATTAGGCCAAAGTCAGCTGAATTAAGGTTACAAGGTTACTTAGCTATCTTTTTACATCAGTTTTTAAGTAAACTGCCAATTAAAACCCAAAAAGCTATAGTTTGAGATTAATCATTTTTAACTACATTGTCTGTCACATAAATATAATAAATAAATAGCCTAACTTGGACTATTTGCTCTTATTTGTCAGTTTCAAAATTCCTCATGTGAAAGCTTTGTGATTTTATAAAGTCAGTAACCTGTCTTCACTGTTTACCTTTCTGCCTCACCTCCACTCAGTCACTTGACCAGCGTGACCACTGTTTCCATATGGCACACAGCAGTAATGATTTGACGACTTTTTTTTTACTTTGCATAAATGACAAGCAACAGTATCACCACTTTAGAATACAAAAAAGTCAAAACACAAATACAGAAGCTGTGAAAACTGCTTAAAACAGAGAAACTTTATTTGAGAAAGCTGTCATTTGTCAACATCAAAAACTGCAGCTTGCTGTAAACTTAAACGTCCAGATGTTTGAGGATTTATTTCCCACTGGTTAAAGTATTAACTCCCAAAACAAAGTTCTGTAATGCACTGACTGCAGGCAATTAGAGTCTAAGTGTATCACAGAACTTTATTTGGAAAGCCACAGTGCCACCTCATAGGTTTGTCCTTGTGCAGAGCATTTTCCAACTCATGACCGGGTTGCTCCTTTAACCTGCAGTAAGGCACAGAAAACAAGGGAAGACAAGACGCTCATGTTGGATTTTTTTTCACGATCTTGACTTTAATGCAGAACACAGTATAGTTATACAAGAACAAAATTCTCCCATAAACTTAAGAGTGCTAAAAGTGGCTAAGACTTGAATTCTTTAGGCCTACAGAAAGGCTTGCTTTGTGGTGAGTCCTCACTAGAATCACACAGGTAAAGAGTCTTTTTACACATTGTCAGCTATCTTTATAAATTATTAAGTGAATAGATATAATCTGGGATTGTGTAATAATTGATCACACAGTATATCCCACCAAAAATGATCTTCAAATGGGTTTATATACCTCTTTAGGGTTGGCCATCTGGTTGGTTGTAGAGTTAACATAGTCTCTACAACAGCTGACATGACTGAAGTTGTCAGTTTTAGAGGTACTTTAAACTTTAGTAGGTTTGTTTTCCTTCTTGTGCCAGTATGTCATTGATTCTGCCTGTTGAACTTTAAGAACTTTCTGAATTGAACAGGTCCTGGGGAATGAGCTATTCACTAAACAATGTAGATAGATATGATAGTAATGACGACAATGCAGGCCAGCTGAGCTCCACAAGCATGAAGTACTGTCAGTTTGACGGTAGTTAAGGCATTTGCAACTTCAGTAGCTGTGACAACAACTTTAGGAGTGCAAAACAATGAAATCCAACAAATAAATGTAACCATTCAACCATTATCTTTACAATTATTTGCACAAGAAGTGATATGATAAAGGGCAGGTTCTGCAAGTTATACTGTACCTGGAAGCCTGGTTGTAGTCGCAAGGGGACCAGCTGCGATCCAACACGAGGGGCAAATAGCGAAGATCATAAAAGCAGAAAGCGATCTGAGGACATTGCAGTCCATGGCTAAATTCACGGTGCAAACGACCGTTTTCACGTCTGCGGAGTTGCAGCGCACTAACCGTAATTTGGCTATCGCCGCTTTTACCTTTTCTTTCCCAGTTCTGTGCAGTTCACTATATGCAGCTGGAAGAATGTCGACGTGGAGCTGCCAAACGTGAACGCGAATCCATGAGCGCGCATAAGAGAAAAAATAGGCTTTAGTGTAATTTCACGCAGTGCCACAGAGTTACACTTTGGTGTGAAGTTCTTCACAGTTAGGTGCCAGAGCCAAGACAAAGTCTGTCTTACTGCCTTGACATATTTGAAAAGCCACTTAATTACATCTCGATCCGACTTCTTACTTATGCTGAGGTGTCGGAATGGTTCAAATTGAATGAGATTTAAGGATTTTATAAGCACGAACAACTTTTAAATAGCAGCGATGTTGGACTGCCAGATACACTTTATTTGAGCAGGTTATTTTCATTCTCTGCCACTTCATACTCTGACTTTACTACATTTTAGAGACAAATAGACCTAGGTATTCTACTTTATTGCTCCACTACATTTGATAACTTTAGTTCATCTTTAGAATCAGATTAACTATTGAAAATACAGTAATTCAAATTACAGACATGTAGTTAAAATTAGCTCCACCTGTACCAGCTGCAACATTAAATGTGAAGTACACAATAATGCACCAGTAATTAGCTTATAATCCAATAATATGATATACATTAATATGAGACGTGCCATTCTGCATACGTTTGGTATTTTAAGTATATATTTATGCTAATACCTTTGTACTTTTACTTCTTCAAGGGAAGTAATACCATGCTGTAAAAATACTCAACAACAATGTGAGTCTTCCTCAACTGTCATCATGTCTGTCCCATCCACCAGTGTTGAATGCTGAAGGAAGTATACAGGTCCTTTCCGTAAGTAGCAATACTACAACATAAAGGTATTGCACCTAATGCAAGTCATTATCTTCATCATTACTCATTATGGAAAATGCCTTATTATTAGTCTATTATAATATACTTATTATATAAATCAGATTATTATTATTGATGCATTGATGTTTACATAGATTTAATGTATTAATGTAATGTAGTGGTTTAAATATGTATTTGCCAAATTGGAGCTGATTTTTAGCAACCATACTTTATAGCATCCAAAACAAGTAGATCAAATATTCAGACCCAATATACTGTACTTAGGCTAAGTAAAAGTAATATGAACGACTGTTCCCCTCTTAAATATTTAAGTAAAAGTAGAAAAAATGCACTTAAATTGAAAAATGTACTTTCACATTAACATAAGCAGCATTTTAATGTTGTTACTGATTAAGGTGGAGTTCACTTTAAATAGTTTATATACAACTGAGCCAGCCAATAATACATAATTAAATGTGTCAAAGAATGGGAGAGCATTCATATGAACGGTCAACATATGAGTTAAATGATGTTTACCCATTATTTGGTCCCAAAGAGTGGGTGTCAGGCCATGCCGTCATGCATCTTCAGAGCCCCACAATAAGCAACGCCATTTTCCAGACCTAACCTACCATGAACCCTATCCTCACCCAGGCAAAGAGCAGCTATGTGGCTTGACACATGGCAGCTGCATTGTATTTCCTGAGGCTAAGCAGTGGCTGGTCCAGCTGGATTGTAATGACAGTCACTGCTGAGAGCCGGGTCCACTCAGTTGTCCAGGGCCACTCAGTTTAACTTTTATAAACTAATCATACTTTCTGTATGTATTTCAATTTGTAAAGTGAAACAGTAACCATAGATGCTGAAATGCTGTGTAAATCTTGTGGGGTAAAAAATACAGTAGTTCACTTTGGAACATAATGAAGTAGTATAAAGTAGCAGAAAATGGAATTAGTCTACTTAATGAAAGTATTTGAATACAATACTTGAACAATCCCACTATAACACTGCATTGTTTTTTAAACTGATATCATGTTTTGCCTCTAAAACCTTAAACTGCAAAGTAACTAAATAGAAATGTTATGCAAAGTATTACTATGCTACAAAAAAGGCAAATATTTCCTTCTGATATGTATTAGAGGTATAAAGTAGTATCACGTGGAAATACAAAAATTTCCACCATGCTACTCAGTTGTTTATAATATATACAACTCATTAATATTTTAATCTCATTCTGCAATATTATAGTATATTTAGTAACCCATCAAGTCTTTATTGTCAGAATTTTCAATTAAAACAAAACTTCAATGTAGGAAATTACATTTACTCAATTAGGGGCGACCCGTGACCCCGTTCAGCAGCCCGGGGCCCTCAGCTCCAAACAAAATTTTGTTGTATGTGTCACAATGTTACAATGACAATAAAATAAAGCTTCTTCTTGTAAGCTAGGTGTTCTTAAGTACTTGATAAGTGAACCACTCTTTTCTCTGTACATTTATTTACAGCTGCTAAACACAGAGAGTGGACATTGTGAATCAAGACTGCATTTACTATCATATATTTTGCTAAGGCGGAAAGTAACTAAGTACATTTACTCTAGTATTGTACTTAAGTATAATTTTGAGGTATCTGTACTTTACTTGAGCATTTCATTTTCTGCTACTTCATACTCTGACTTCACTACATTTTAGAGGCAAATATTATACTTTTTACTCCACTACATTTATTTGATAACTTTAGTTACTAGTTACTTTTCAGAATCTAATCTGGTTGGAAATTCACAAGCTACCCGTCAGTACTTTAACTTATAACTGTATAAAGTAGATAAAATTAGCTTCACCTCTACCTGCTGTAACATTAAATGTAACATAGGGTACATAATAATGCATCAGTAGGCCTAATTACAACTGAATAATATACTATACATCAATGTGACGACTGCCAATCAAAAGGGGTAGACTACTTTTACTTTCAGGTATATTTTAATGTACTTTAACTTGAATACAGGACTTGTAATATACATATAATGGAGTATTTTTACACTGCAGTGCTACATTTAATTGAGTAAAGAATCTGAGTACTTCTTCTACCACTCTAATTTTGTTGCTATCTGAACTGAAATTTTAAAATGCAGTGCTTCTGATTGTAGCCATTTTTACACTGTAGTACTGTTAATTTGCTAAAGTAAACGCCTGAATGCTTATCCCACCCGGGACTAAAGTCCATTTGTCTCATCACAGCTTTGTCACGGAACACTGGGGCCCCAGGGTCTCGAGCGCCACACAGGCCACGGTTACCAGCAGGGGGCGCTACGCCCCAAAACAAAACTCTTCTGAAAACAAAGTTGGGATGGAAGCAGGACCCGTAGTTATACTTCATTAATCTCACGTGTTGTCTTCATAGGTCAGTTAAAAATAATAGACGCAGACTGTCCTTTTGTGGCCTTTCAAACGCTAACAACCATTTGTTTGATCAGTTTATCAATCACGAGCACGGGTCATCAGGCATTTTAGCCCATAGCATTCACGCACACACGCACATCCCTCACCACCAGCCTCATAGGCGGGTGTCAGGGGGACGATCCCGGAACCTGAGCTCGGTAGGCAGGGCCACCATTTCCGTAATGCTCATTAGATTTAGAGCGAGCAATATTTGCCCGAGCTCAGCTGCTGCGACGCACTGTATCGTCTGTGACCCGCTCGCCATTTTAATCAGCCATTTGAGGAATATACACACCGACACGTCATACGGCGAGACAGCTCTCCATAATGATGGAAATGGAGGTGGCGCATTCCAGTCAACAGGTATATATACTGTTTTTAAAAAGAAATTAGGCTGCTAGGAAGAAACAAACAGGCGGCTACGATAAGAGGAGACAGAGGCGTGTTTATAGGCTAGCGCAGGTAAACTTTTTAATGTTAGTTATAGGAAACTGACTAACCAATACAGAGTGACAGTCTGGTTATGGCGTAGATATTATAATTGAGAAGTAAGAGCTCCGACGTTTGAAACGACTATATAATGGTGTTAAGTTTTGACTTTATGTAAGGGTATTAATGTCGCCCCCTGTGGCCGTTTCCAGTTCTGCAAGTCATTCATTTGTGACGTTTTACATCGACAGGAAATAAATATTATTAGAAAATCAGGATGATATCTTAAGTGTTTGTTGATTAAGTGAATAACACGACATTTTTTAACCCTGGCGAGTTTGGCAAACATGAAGCCTGTCAGGATTTTTCCCGCAACCGCCCCCCCTTCTCCCCTCCCCTCCCCTCCTCTCCTCTCCTCCCCATTTCCTCCTAAGCATGTGATCCCTTATCTGATACCGACGCGCATGTAATGCATTGTAAATGGTTTCTTTAGAGTTTGTCTTATTTCTCTGTCCGCTCGGTTTGTAATTTTAACCACATAACCTCAGTCTAGACGTGTTTTCCCGGTTTTGTCCATACACCCTGAATAAAATGCTGAACTTGAGGTTTGTTTGTTTGTTTTTTAAGCGATAAGGTCTTCCAGGTGTAGTGGTCAGATGAATTTGTCATGGAAAGAAGGGTCGGTGGAAGTACACAGTCGACAGATTGTGGGGCTGAAAGGCTGCCTTGGGTCGTGTGCACAAGTGTTTCATCTTCCTGGGTAATGGGTGGATGTTCACTGGCTTGTGATGAAAGAAGGCATAATGATCCTCTGGAGTCAGGTCCCCTCTGAGCCCGCCCCCCGTTTAGCTGAGAGGTAAATGAACAACCTGCTCCTAAGGCACTGTTATCACTTCTGTGGGACTGGGTTTGATAGCCAGTTAGCTGTTAATATCCCTATTTTAAATTAAAGGGATGTTTGTTTGGCTTGTGTTGTCTATTGTGTGGCAGTTAGGTACTTTCACAAGCTAGTTTCCTTGTTGTGGTGACAGCCCATGTGACAGCATACCCCGACCCTTCACTGAAGATCTTATTCCCCCCCCCCCCATTCACACAATCTATTTGACATTGATACAGGATTTAAACTAAGATTTGTTAAGTTACTTTGGTTGTGTGGCATTATTGCTTAACATCGTTAACATAATTGTTAATGAGTGACAGGGTGAAAGGATTGACTGAACTGTGTAGGCAGGAGACTTTTTGTTAAGGGACTCGTATGACCTGTCTGATGAGCTTTTAAAATATGACTGACAGTATTTTTTTTTTTTTTTTTTTTGGAAAACAGATGACCTCAAGAAACTTGTTTAGACATTCCACATACACATTTTAGGACACTTCCTCATTCTCATAGAAGCCATGGTGTTTGGTTTTGTGCTCACCTCTCAGTTGGTGATTTATAGTTGGCAGCCTTAACTATAATCCTTCTGTGGTCATGGCTCTGATGCAACACTGAGGCAAAGAGGGTCATTGGGATCTTATTTTGCAGTCAGAAAAATTGTGTCATTGTCTTAAAATATGTGCTGGTACTTTGGTTCACAGTTACCATTAGTTTATGAAAGTCTTCCACACACCCTATTTTTCTTGAATTAACAAAACATTATTATGCAGTGTTTTCTCCTCTGTTTCACATCCTTTTTATTGTTGTGCTTTGTGCTTTATTTCCCTGGAGTTCCCAATCGGCTTCCTCCAGGCCACAGTATGTCTGTTCTGACCATATGACTGACTTCAAGCATTGTTAGAACCAAAGCCATGCTTTTGTGTTTATACCATAACTGAGGAATAAACAAGTCACATGCTCAGACATCTTCTTTTGAACCAGTATCTTGGGTTTAAGCAACATCCTAGGGCCTTGTGAAATGGTTTCCTTCTGTAAAGAAAACACTCACAGAAGCGCAGCACAGTTTATCTTAAGGCATTTTTGTTTAAAATGGCAAGAAACATTCAGCCATTGAGCGGAAATCTACAGGAAACCTTAGTGAAATATCCTCATCGTTGTTTGTATTCAGTATCTAACACTGTATTGTAGGCAAGCATTCAACTTAATGTGCAGTTTGTAATTCTACCTAGCTTTTTCAGGAAACATACTCTTCTGTCGTTTGCAAAACACTATAAGGGACTTTAAAAAAAAAACTGTAGACATACCTTTTAAATTCATGATTTTATGAAAGTGGTAAAATATTTAACTTTAGTTCATTTAGAGAGCTACACTGTAATATGACTTCACCTATGCAAGTTAAGTCTTCCCTGTTTGTGAGTGTGACTAATGTATTCACACCTCATGGTAATCAGATAGGTAATAATCACTTCTCTTGGAAAGAGTATCAAGTAAGGATATGTCTTCTTCTGTTGTGTGGTGGCAGCAGGATAGAGAACCGCATCTATTATTCATGCAGCTTATCCCCCTTGATACTAGTGCCAGTGTCGTCAATGAACAGACACTGAGAGACAGGGTGTGGCAGGTGCAGCAGCCATGCTTCACAGAAGGGATCGTTCTTTCTTGCTCACATTCTCATTGCAGGATGACATGGCTACCACTCACAACTCTTAACCCATCTACGGTTCTCCTTCCAGGACATGGACCTGATTGACATACTGTGGAACCAGGACATCGATCTCGGAGCCAGGCGAGAGGTGTTTGACTACAACCACCGTCAGAAAGAGCATGAGCTGCAGAGGCAGCGGGAACTGGAGGAGGAGAAGAGGCTGCATCTGCTCCGGGAACAGGAGAAAGCTTTGCTTGCACAGCTTCAGCTCGACGAGGAGACTGGAGAGTACATACCCTGCCCACCACCCAGCACCCCACCACAGGCGGCTGTCACACCTCTAGAGGTTACACAGGTACTGTACATACACATGGTCCTCATTACTCATGTCAGAGGTGGACCACTCCCACCTCATTTGATAGGTTGTGGCAGTAGTAGCTAGGTAACCACCTTATTCTGTGCAATTACAGGGACACAGGTGGGTCTGTGGTTGAGCATTGTGTATTCTGCTCCAGAAGCTGCTCCACAGAGACCTATGCTCTATAAATATCAAATCATGTGCTGTTTTTAAAAGATAGTACACTATAAATGTAATAGCATTACTTTAAACTTTATTGCAGGATGTCGGCTTCACAGACGAGAATGATGCCACCATGTCATTTGATGAATGTTTGCAGCTACTGGCAGAGACATTTCCTATAGAGGAGACTGAGGTAAGAATATTTTAAAAATGTATTATCTTCCATACTGATAGCTTGTAGCATGCCTTTGAATGTAAACTGAAAACTGTCATATTCATGTTTTTGTCTCACAGAACACTTCAGTTTGCCTGGACACAACTGCAGTTTCAGTTCCCAGTAGCAGCAATGTCATGATGTCCCCCGAGCAGCCAGCTCTGCCATCAGCCACCCTCTCCCCAGCTCCACTGCCGCCACCACAGAGGATGTCTCCAGATTTGGAGCAAGCCTGGATGGAGCTTCTGTCCCTCCCTGAGCTGCAGGTATAATACGTTGATTCTACTGCCTCAGTAGCATGATGGCTTGTGTTGGGGAACAAATACCCAAAGAATGCTTCAGCTGCAGGAGTCTGCCATTAGAGGACAAACACTTTTTTGTTTGCCCTATGGGAATGGGTTCTCATATCTGTGGAGACAGGTGCCCGCAGCTCATTCCACTGAGATTAGGTTTCAGTGTTGTGCCTCTTTAGATTGTCAGGGAGGTGAGTATTCATGGTATGATACAGTTTATATCAGTAGTAACCACTGGCTTCGTCTAGAGGACCTCTTGTTCAGATGAGGTGCGGTAATCCTTAAAATCACAGATTACTGGCAGAAAGGTAAAGATTTGTGCACAGTAGTTTTTCAATAACTGCCTTATCAGTTTTTTTTCCTCCCAGTTCATATTTGCATTAGCTGATGGGTGGACTGGTGTGCCATTTGTTGCCTTGACCTTTTACTTTGTTTCAGAATAGCTAGAATATGCAGCATTGCACTCTGGCAGGCTGCTGCTAACACTCGTATTGTAGAAACATGGTTGTATGGAGTTAAGTTTTTAGTTCTTAAAAGCTGTTTTGTGGAGATAAAAGTGGTCGGTTAACTTCTCAGCAACTGGGAGATTGTTACTGCTGATTTCTGAGCTATTTTAACAAAGGGATATCTAGTTAGTCCTTGTGCCATAACCAGCCCTACCAGCATTTGTCAGTGTAGTACTAGTGAATTGGAACAACTTCAAGGCTCCAGGTCTTGCTGACCTTATTGTTTGAAATGAAATAAGGTGAATTGATATCATCATATGTTAATGAGATCAGAGGCACTTTTTAAAAATTGGCAAGTGAAATACCAGATCTGTCTGAAGGCCTATTTCACAAGCTGTTATCATGAAAAGCCAATAAAAGTATCACATGAATCCACAACAAACAAATGATTTCATACTGACTCTCATGTAGGATTTAAACTTTTATCCACAACAACCAATCCCTGCATTTCATGTAAAATGTAGTTGTTTGAAACTTTGAGTATGTATTTTAATGGTGTCTTGTTTTTCCTTCTAGCAATGCCTGAGCATGCACATGGATGAACCACTGGAGACTTTGACTTACCCTCTTCCAAACAGTCCTGAATTACAGAATCCAGACTTCACTTTTTACCCCATGGCGAGCCTCACAGATGGGGAAACAAGCAGTTTAACTGTTTGTCCTGCAGAGTTTATGAATACATTTGATGGTTCTGCTCCAAGTATGGCCCCGGCAGACAACCTCAGCCAAATGGAGGCAAAAGCTTCTCCGTTAAATACTAACTTTGAAGAAACTTTCTGTGACAGTTTTTACCCCACCACCATTCTGGAAGAGAGCAGCAGTCAGCAAGGCCTTGAAGGAAATGAAGACACCACTTCGTCTGATATCACAAAACCTCCCTTCACACCCTTGGACCTTTACAGCCTCTCACCTGGGGATGCATTTGACAGAGGCAAACACAGCCTGACAGCTGAAATGCCAGATTCAGATTCAGGAATCTCTTCAAACACAAGTCCAAATGCTAGTTCACCTGGGAAATCTGTTTATGGAGATGGGTCCTTTGGTTACAGTGATTCAGAGATAGAGGAGATGGACAACAACCCTGGAAGTGCAGAATCTGAATACTTGGAGATGTTCTGTCTAAATTTTCAACCTGACGATCTTCAGACAGCGGTGACAGGGCAGCCACAACAGCAGCAGGACAAGAAACCCAAACAGAAGAACACGGACCCAGCAGAGGAGGGTGGTCACAGCGATACTCCCTTCACCAAAGACAAGCGGAAGAAACGCTCCAATGTCCGTCTCTCCAGAGACGAACAGAGGGCTAGGGGCCTCAAAATCCCCTTCACTGTCGACATGATCATCAATCTTCCTGTTGATGACTTTAATGAGTTGATGTCAAAGCACCAACTGAATGAGGCCCAGCTGGCCCTGGTCCGAGACATACGCCGCCGCGGGAAGAACAAGGTCGCTGCCCAGAACTGCCGCAAACGCAAGATGGAGAACATAGTGGGTCTGGAGGGCGAGCTGGATTCACTGAAGGAGGAAAAAGAGCGTCTGCTGGATGAGAAGAGCCAGAACATCAAAAACTTGAAGGAGACAAAGCAGCAGCTCAGCAGCTTGTACCTGGAGGTCTTCAGCATGTTGAGAGATGAGAGTGGGAATTCCTTCTCCCCTTCAGAATACTCCCTCCAGCAGTCAGCTGACGGCACCATCTTCCTTGTTCCTCGCATTAAAAAGACTTTCATTAAGAGCAAAGACAACCGCTTATCTTGTTTGTAATATGGTACTGCATTATCATAGTAATACTATGCAATAACTTGGTAATCACTCAGCTTTAAACCATTAGTAGCTCAGCAGAACTATTGTATAGTTTTTGCATATTTCTCTTGAATGTTGTAATATTTTTGATATTTTACTTTTGTACTCTGATACCTGTCTTTAACCTATATTGTTTGTAAATATAAGCATACTTTTGAGATGGATAAAGGTGTACTGTATGTGTGTACATGTATAGTGTATATATTTCTGTATGCTAATGATTGTTTCAATCATTGCTACTCATTTTATAACTTTACTTTTAAGATTCGCTGCCCAGGTTTTTTTTTTTTTTTTTTTAAATTTCTGCTTTT